GTCCTGCGGGGCGCGCGGGGCGTCAGCGGCGGCCGCCCCCGAGGCGCTGCGGGGGGCAAGCGCCGCCGCTCCCCGCTCACCTCCAGGAACGGGAATTCCTGCTCCGAGGGGTCGCCGGCTTCCTCGGGCTGGGGGGCGCCCCACGGGCGCCGCTGCTCCTCGCCCAGGGGCGACGTCCTCCCGTCCGGCTGCGCCCCGGGCGCCTCGGGGCTGTCGGCCTCCGCCGCGGCCTCCTCCATCACGGCCTCCGCGGGCGGTGGGGAGGCGCCGGGGCCCCGTGGGGCGGCAGGCGGCTCCGGCAGGTCCTGCTCGTCCACAGGGCCGCACTGCTCGTCCCAGGGGCGCGAGGCGGCCGGTGGCTCCTCCGCAGTGTCCCCCGGCACCGGGCTGGGCTCCCGGTCACCGTCGCTGCTCCTGCTCGGGGACACGAGACGGGACCTCGCGGCTCCGCCGGCTCCCGGTGCCACCGGCACCGCCTCCCTCCCGGGACGCGGGGCGGACCCCACGTGGCTCCCACGGGCAGGGGACAAGGCAGGGATGGGGCCACGGGGCTCCAGGGGACACCCAGAGGGACAAGGGACGCAAGGGACAGGACCCCCCATGCGGACAGGGGCGAAGCAGGGCCCAGCGCCGCCCCCCAGCTCCTCCGTGGGGCAGGACCCCATCCCTGTGCCCCAGAGGCGCCTCCGCGCGCGGCTCCCACTCACCGGTGCCACGCGGCCCGGTCGCTGCGTGCGGCACAGCGCGCGCCGAAGGCGCTCGCCCATTCCCGCCGCCCGGCCTCGGCCTCCTCCTCATCCTCGCGCAGCTCCGCGCTCCAGCCCGGCTCCGTGTCCCGGGAGGCACCGGGACAGCCGTGGGCGCGCACGGAGGGATCCCCAGGCCAATCTGCGAGTGTCTCACCGGGCTCTGGGTGCTCCCGCGGCTCCCTACACTCCAGCTCCACGGGCCAGGGCGCTGGGCCCTCGGAACCGGCTCCGGCCCTCGATGGATCCGGCAGCCGGGCCGTGCCGGTGGCACCGAACGGGTCGTGGTGCTGGGCCGTGGCCCAGGCCTGGCCGGGCTCGGCAGCGCCCTCCTGCGCCCCCGCGCACCCCCAGCCGCGCTCCGGGGCCGGCTCCTCGGGGGCACCTGCCCTTCCCGCACGGAGAAGGTCGGGCGGCTCCGCGCGGCCGGAGCTGCTGGTGCTGTCCCAGGCGGGCCAGCCGCTGCCCCGCTCCCTGTCCTGGCTCTCCATATCCTCAGGGCCGTATCTGCTCTCCCAGGCCGGCCGGCTGCGGCCGAACTCCCTGTCCTGGCTCTCCATGTCCCCACCCTGGCTGCACTCAGCCGCTCTGCCGGGGCCCAGCTCCCTGGCCTGCCTCTCCATGGCCCTGCGGCTGTATTCGCTCTCCCAGGCGGGCCTGCCGGTGCCCAACTCGCGGTCCCGCATCTCCACATCCCCGTATCCGCTCTCCCAGGCTGCTCTGCCCGGGTCAGGCTCCCTCTCCTGGCTCTCCCCGTCCCTGCACTGGCTGCGCTCGGCCGGCCGGCCGGGGCCGAACTCCCTGGCCTGCCTCTCCACGGCCCTGCCGCTGTAGCCGCTCGCCCAGGCTGCGTGGCCGGGATCGAACACCCCGGCCCGCGTCTCCACGTCGCTGCCTTGGCCGGGCTCAGCCGCACGACCGCGGCCGAACTCCCTGTCCTGCAATTCCAGGTCCCTCGTGCCGTAGTCACCGTCCCGCGCCGGCCGGCTGGGGCTGAACTCCCTGTCCTGCAATTCCAAGTCCCCGGCACCGTAGCCGCTGCCCCTGGCTGGCCGGCCAGGGCCAAACTCCCTGTCCTGGCTCTCCAGGTCCCTGGTGCCGTAGTCGCTGTCCCTGGCCGGCCGGCTGGGGCTGAATTCCCTGTCCTGGCTCTCCAGGTCCCCAGCACCATAGCCACCATCCCTGGTGAGCCGGCTGGGGCCGAACTCCCTGTCCTGGCTCTCCAGGTCCCTGGTGTTGTAGTCGCCGCCCCGGGCCGGCCGACTGGGGCTGAACTCCCTATCCTGCAATTCCAGGTCCCTGGTGCCATAGTCACTTTCCCGAGCCGGCCGGCTGGGGCTGAACTCCCTGTCCTGGCTCTCCAGGTCCTTAGTGTTGTATTTGCCGGCACCAAACTCCTTCCTGGGGCTGCCGGGATCCCCCGTGCTGGATCTGCCAGCCCAGCCCAGCGTGAAATCCTCGTCCTTGCTCCGGGTGTCCCTCTCGCCCAATTTCCTGGCCCAGGCAGGGCTGTTGTCCCTCTCCTTGACGCTTGTGTCCCCGGTGCCGTATCCAGCAGGCCAGGTGGGGCTGCTGTCCCCATCCTTGATGCCTGTGTCCCTGCTGCCGTCCCCATCACATGGCTCTGTGTCCCCAGCTGTGTATCCGTGGGGCCAGGCGGTGCGGCCGTTCCCGTCGCGCGGCTCCGTGTCCCTGGCTCCGTACACGGCCGCCCAGGCGGTGCTGCCATCCCTGTCATGTTGCTCCATGTCCCCGGTGCCGTATTTGGGGGGCCACGTGGCGGTGCCCTCCCCGTCCCGCGGCTCCGCGTTCCCGGTGCCGTATCCAGCAGGCCAAGCAGGGCTGCCATCCCTGTCCTCGATCCCTGCCGTGTCACTGGTGCCGTATCCGGCAGGCCAGGAAAGGCTGCCGCCCCCATCCTTCACGCCGGCATCTCTGGTGCCGTCCTTGTCGCGCGGCTCCGTGTCCCTGGTGCCGTACGCGGCCGCCCAGGCGGCGCTGCCGTCCCTGTCGTGTGGCTCCGTGTCCGCAGAGCCGCACCTGGGGGGCCAGGCAGCGCCGCCGTCCCCGTCGCGCGGCTCCGTGTCCCCGGCACTGCATCCGTGGGGCCAGGCGGTGCCGCCGTTCCCATCGCGCGGCTCCACGTTCCCGGTGCCATATCCAGCAGGCCAGGCGGGGCTGCTGTCCCCATCCTTGATGCCTGTGTCCCTGCTGCCGTCGCTGTCACGCGGCTCCGCGGCTCCAGCTCTGTATCCATGGGGCCAGGCGGTGCCGCCGTTCCTGTCGCGCGGCTCCGTGTCCCCGGTGCCGTACGCGGCCGCCCAGGCGGCGCTGCCGTCCCTGTCCTGTGGCTCCGTGTCCCCGGCTCCGTATCTGGGGGGCCACATGGCGCTGCCCTCCCTGTCACGCGGCTCCGCGTCCCCGTCACTGTCCGCAGCCGCCCAGGCAGCGCTGCCGTCCCCGTCGCGCGGCTCCGTGTCCCTGGTGCCGTACGCGGCCGCCCAGGCGGCGCTGCCGTCCCCACCACACGGCTCCGTGTCCCCGGCTCCGTATCTGGGGGGCCAGGCGGTGCTGCCGTCCCCGTCACGCAGCTCCATGTCCCCGGTGCCGTATCCAGCAGGCCAGGCGGGGCTGCTGTCCCCATCCTTGATGCCTGTGTCCCTGCTGCCGTCCC